CCGGGGAGCAACCGTCGGTGGCTGGGAACGGGGCGGGAAAGCTGCTTTGTCTGACGAGGGTTTCTGACGAGTTCTACAGCTTCTCCCTGTCCCCTAAGCTGTAAAATTAAAAAAAAAATCATTAGAAAAGGGAAGGAATAATGTCACGCTTCTCTTAAAGAAGCCAGCAGTCGCCGTTTCCCGTTGCCCCGTGGGTAACGCTAGGTGGTGCAGCGAGCACGCGGTAAATTCTTCTGAACAACAGGTTTTGGAAGGAGTTACCGGCAAACGCGCTCGGTCAGCAGGACTTCAGCGTGACGTGTGTCACTTCGTGCATGCTGTTGGCATCCCAAGGGGTTGTGCGCTTTTATTTGAACTATAAAAGTTTGATCTAATAAAATGTTCTCCCTTTACAAATCTGGGCTTGCTTATGTACAAATTAGAGCTGCTTTTTGTACAGACCCGTGTGTGAGACCGGCACGGTGGTCGGTAGGAGAGTATCCAGGCTCAACTGGCAACACAAGGAAATTGTTGATGATAGCCTAGCTCTCTGGGCGGACTTATTTATCGGGCTTTTTTTTGGTGGGGTAACCCGATTTGTATTGTGCTACGTGGCGCCAAGCTGGACGACGCCTGCTGCAGAATGGGCAGCACGGAGACGGGCCTACAACAGTGCCCCGCTTGTGTGAAAACTGGCAATTCGCAGCTGCGCTCTGATACAGGTCTGCAGGCTTCGCTGTTCTTTGTATCAGAAGGTTATCTTTGTACTGGCTAACAGTTTTAACTTAAGGGAATGTGTGAAGTGTAAAAATGTTGTTACCTGCTAATCTACAAGTTTATTTGGTTTTGAATTAAAATGCTTTTGAAAGCATAAACCTTCAGTTTTAGGAGACAATAACTAGATGTTTTGAATATTTTGAGCATAAAATCCTTAAAATATTTGTTATAGATGTGACAGCTGAGGCAGTAGGTGTAGCTATTGCTGCACCTCCATCAGAAGGGGAGGCAAATGCAGAGCTGTGTCGCTACCTCTCTAAGGTGCTAGAAGTGAAGAAGAGTGAAGTTATTTTAGAGAAGGTACTTTTCTTTTTTTTTCTTTTCAGTCTTGCCCTACTGCAATTTAAATTCAAGATTTTGAAACTTACTCATTGAGTACAGGGAGCTGCTCTCCAGGTTCAGTCCAAAAGACACTTTAAAGGTGTTTAGTTGAATTAATGGAATGATTCGTTTGAGAACAAACCTAGCGTAGGAAGAAGCACAGCTGATCTTGAGATCTTAATCAGAATAGTTCTCGTCATAATATATTTTCCAAACTTGTGTGGTTCGTGTTTTCTGTGTTCTGCAAAGATTTTCTTGTTTTCATGTCACATGCAGTTCACAAAATTTGTGCTTTGCAAGAACGTTCCTTTTTTTTAATAACTTTGCATTCATTTTTTTTGAAGTAACTTCTGTATTTGAGTGAAAGTTTTCTGACAATTAACTGTCACACATAAGCAAGAGCATATCTAAGCACTTGGATTATAGCTGGGCCTCAAGATTTTCTGTGTATTAGAATTTACACGTCTTGACTTTGGGGAACGGAAACTCTTCATTTTATTCATTGCACTGAATAAATAATTTGTTTTATTAATTCATTGTACTTAAAGTCGGTCTTTCCAGCCTTGTTCATTTATAGTTTATGAACATGAGAGCACAATGAAAAATTGTGCTTTTTATTTTTGCCTGTTGGTTTAATGTAGTAGTTGTAGAAGTCTGTTAAAGGATAGTGGTAAATGGCAACATAATTAACGAATTGAGCATTGTGTTGCCGAAAGATAGAGATGCAAAGGTTTGAGTCTTGTTTTTCCTGAATCATGGTCAAACTGCTTAATTTGTTTGTCAACATTTTAGAGATAACACTGTTTTCCTGCCTTAAGGGGATGTTCAGCTTTAACTAGATTATTCTCATAAGTGCTAAGCAGAGTTGAACATAAAAGGGGCTAGTGTGATCTGACCTTCTTGACTCTGTTATTCTGACCTAAGCTGTCCAGATAATTACATGCTAGTGTTTGTTTTTCACAAGCCACTGTTAGTTCTCAGTGAAGCATTCTGGTAAAGTCTGCATTTTACCTATGGCTTAGATTTTTCCATCTTGATCTGCTAGGTGTAAACAGCAAGTTATTTTTGATGCTGGTTGCTCTCTTATGTGCTACTTGCTTTATGATAAGTGATAACATTAACAAAACCAGTCCAAATGGGGAAATTGGTGGGAAATGATCCAGTATAAAACTGGGGTTACCAGATTTCTATGCAAGATTTTCATCAGCAGCTGTCTACGCTCCTTCAAAAATCTATTTTTAATTTTAAATTTCATGCTATGTTTCTGTATAGTAGAGTTAAGGACATTTTTGTCCTTCAGGATGTCCCTTGTGGGCTTTTCAAACTTTTTGCCAGGCTGCAGACGAACAAGCAACTTGTTTCTCATGGTTTACTGAGCACTAGCAAAGTTGTGTCTTCAGACGGTATGAATTGAGGTGGCAGGTTTGCCAGTTCCTATGTAAAATAGCCTTTTTTTCAGTAATACAAAAACAGGTCAATAATATTTCAAATAACTGCTGTATGAATCTGAATGTCTTACAGGCTATATACAGCGTGATTTTTTTCATTTAGTTGGTATTATCAACCTGAGAACTCAGCTTAAGAGTAACTAATACTCGGTGGGAGACAACTCTGAAGAAAGATCTGAAAGTACACAGTTATCAAATATACATACATACATACATATATATACCTACCCACTTTTTAAAAACAAAAATGCAAATTATTTTGAGTCTTGCTTCTAGAGGATACAAGTGAATTATGGAAACTTACCACTCCTTGCTTTTCATTCTAGCCTATAAAAAGAGCGTCAGTTCAGGGCATAGCTCTCGGAGCTGTATCCAGTTTTAAAAGGAGAGTAGATAAGACATTGTTTTCCACCTTTAAAATAACTAGAAAGGCCATTGATGAACTATCTCTTACTGCTGTTAATTCTGCATACCCACGCTTTAAGAATTATTTTTGAAGTACCTGATATGTTGGCATTTCAGTGATATTTTTTTGGAATGTGTATTTGGTGGTGATTCTCTGAAAAATATTGTTGTGTGTGTGTCTAAACCAGGGTGGTAAATCACGTGAAAAAGTGGTGAAGATTTTGGTATCGATGACACCAGAAGAGATTTTAGAAAAACTGAAAAAAGAAGCTTCCAGTTGACCTAAAACAAGACCGGGAAATGGGACAATGCATCTTGGTAAACGGACTGATATTCTTTCTTATGTAAATCTAGTTCTGTTGAGAATGTGGGTAATGACCAGGGAAAGATACTTCTCTCTCCCCACCCTTCCCCACCCCCCGCCTTCTTAATATAGCTGCTGTATAGTTGAAGTTTCTGTGTAGGTTTGGTTAGAAAAACTTGTCTTTACTGAGGCTCTGTATCTGCTTCTGTCACTACAGGCTTTTTTTCCCCTCTGGAGAGTTTCCTGTTGCTAAGATTTGTCCTCTTTCCTGGTTCCTAAACAAATGGTTTAGAAAACTTGTTTCTTAGCGAAACAAACTTTGGTTAACAAAGTGAAAGGCTTGGAGTGAGACGCTTCAATGTGAAAAGTGGTACAAAAGGATGATTGTGTCTGGATGGTAAAGACCCTACAAGAATGTTCTCTTCAGTATCTAGCAGCAGGTACTGGGTGCAGTTTTGCACTATGTGCACATATGTACATCTAAAATAAACGTATTTGAAGCCAAAACTGTTGTTGATCACACAGGCAAACTAAAAGCAGAATCAGCTGAATAACTGAAACAAAACCAGAAGTTTGCAGTATGAAAAACTGACCCAGAGCCTAATTATTGCATACACGGTGTCACTTTGTACTAGTCTGTAATTAGTTTCCTGAAAAGTAGAGATACAATCATGTATCTTTGCCAAATGTATGTCAAGTGTAATGACTGTTTTTAATAAAAGGGGCAAAAAGTATTATCAAACTTTGCTTTGTGTTTATATTTTTAACTAAAAGAAATGTTTTCTAAAAGTCAATAATTAGGACGTTGTTTTTAAACAGGGCTCTTTTGCAATCTTTCCTTGGTTTAAAAATGAGTAGTATTCCAACCCATAGAGAACTGAGCAAAGTCATTTGTAGAACAGAACAAGAAGTCTGAAACAAAATGGGCATCTATACTCCAGTCTCAGGGCTAATGAGAAGGCTTAACTTCTCTCTTTATCATGCTTCAGGCGTCAGACTAAGATTTAACTAGTATTTCCCAAAAATGTATGGGATATCGCACATGTCTCTGGTAGGAGTTTGCTTTTTCATCTGCATCACTGCTGATGTCTGAAATTGTCCTATCTTTCCTATGGTTGTCATATTTAAAAAAATAAATATATATAAAAATGTAATGCCTAAAGTAAAAAAGAAAAACTGTTCCGAAGGTTTGCTTAAGGTTTGTCATACCTTCTGGAAAACAATGTTATGAATGCAAAAAGTGCAGCTAAATTTCTTTACCAGCTTCATGCAGTACAGACTTCATATCTCACAATTTAGTTTTTCGTGGACAAAAATATTTTGCTTTCAGAAATTCTTTCTGCTTCCTGTTATCCTAAATATTGCAACAATTGTTTTTAGAGTTAGAGAACTGGTGCATGTCAAGATGACAGCTCCTTCAAGATGACTCATTTTAAAGATGTTATGAAAAATGTTACTTTCTTGTTTGGACAGTGTTTGGAGAACTAAGTCTAAATTGTGAATGCTGTTTGCTTAATGGTTTGCATCTGGGCTCCTTATTTTCTCAGGCTTTTGGTCAGCCATACATCACCTCAGCTGCCTTTCGTTCCTTATCCTTTTCAGTCTGTACAGGCTGGTTTTCTTTTACTGTTCAGTCAGTTCTGGTTCACGGCTCCTTGCTGTTTATCTGTTCTTGCCCAGCAGAGGGGTACTATGTCTTGCAGAAAAATCAAGGCAAAGCAAGCCAAAACGTAAGTGTCCATGGTTGGGTTTGTTTGGGTTTTTTTTCCTTATTTCTTAAACCACTTTTTATTGTGAGTAAAAAACAGCAATCCAAAGACTGAGGAATCCTGCATTTATAAGTTATATTCTGAGTTGGATGCTGCAACAGCCATTATAAAGATTTCTTTGGAAGCTAATACCATGTGTTATATGATATGAATTATATACTATATTGAAATAATGTATTACACTTTCCCATGACTTCAGACCCAGATTGAGGGAGGAGCTGGGTAGGCAGATAGAGTCTCTGAAGTACATTGGTCTTCAGTGATTATTATCTACAACAAGAGCCAGTTTAATCTTTCAGTTCCCTCTCTGCCTTGTCAACATGTTCTGCCTGGTGCCTTTGCTAGCTTCTGCTTCAGAGGTTTCACCTTTCCTAAACGCCTTCAGCTGGCATTCTGCATCTTTTCTTCCTAATCAGTGAAAGTAACTTGAAGACAAATAGGGTGCCTTCAGCGTATTATGCTGTCATTTTTGTGTAATGTGAGCCAGGCATATTGTCATATTCATCACTTGTCAAGCAGAAGACAAGTACTGTTCAGCTAGGAAGTTTATTAGTCCTTGGGAAAACAACCACCGTGCCCTCCTCCCCATTGCATTTCTGTTTTCTGTTGCATTTACAAGTGTGTGCATGCGGAGGGGGGGACCCATTTATATAATACTGATTTTGTGCTTGGCCAAGCCAAGTACGTTTTCTTTCATCTGGATTGTAATATGTCATTTAAGACCCACTTTAATCAGTTCAGTCATCACACAGTATTTTTTCCAAACTTGTTGCAGTTGGCTGGTTTTTAGCATTGCTTCTTAGGAAGCAGAAATATTATTGGTGGCATGTATTGAAGCCGTAGCTTCTGTTGCTCAAGGTATTACTTAGCTGAGGCCTCAGTGATTGTGTAAAAAAGTCACGGCAGATGGAAGCCACAGTAGCAATCAAAGCAGAGGGATGGAAATTAAGATCTCCTGGTAGTAGTGCCCTGTTTCACTTAAGACTGAAACAGTGGGCTAGCTAGCAGTGTGGCAAATAAAGCCTTTATGTGCTGGGAACAGAGAATTTATTTAATATGAGTAACCACAATTATTTTAGAAAGGTAGTATAAATAACACTGGGGTGTTGCCATATCTAATATCTGAGAGCCTCTTGTGTCAATGTTTTCCATGCAGTCTCCCAATTATGTCCATAATATCTTGGTTGTGGATACGTGTATCCTGGTGAAATGCCTGGGAGACAGGAATTGCTGGTCCATTGCATATCAAAAGTGAGGTACAGAAGAGTTAAGCGGCTTGCATGACCAAACACGTCAATGCCAAAACTGTGATTTACGCCTAGCTCTTTGTAATCTTGTATTGTAATCCTAACCTGTCATCTATCTCTTCATGAACACAGTGAAATATCTTTCATTCTATTGAGAAAATTTTGGTAGCAAATATCCCTAACTCTTCAGCAGAGTATGTTTTCAATAGAACAGAGCTTTGTGATATTGTAGGAGGCTTCTTCCAAGAATTTCAAAACACTTTTCACATCCCCCATCTCAAAATAAAACTTAACCGTTACTCCTAGACCAGTTTAAAAACATTGTGGTGCCAGTTGCTACCCTCCTTCTACTTGTTGGTCCCTGCTTTACCCATGTGCATTACGCTACATGATTATTCAACTACTTGAAATCCTACTATTGACTCAAGCACTGTCCTCTGTTCCTAATGCATTGTCTGACCAATTTCAGTAAAATCTGTCTAATGGTGATTTAATACCTTACTGCTTACAGACCTGGGCAGTCAGTGCATTTTTCATATAATTAAGTTATTTAAACATTAGCAAAATAGAAGTTACCTGAATAAAGTCTATGCCAAGCCGTCTTATGACATAGAATGTTCTTGGACTGTCATCCACTTGGTTGCATTTATTTTCTAAAATCCCACTTTGAAAGTAGGTATATGGTTTCATTGCAGTAGTCTAATATGCTAATTAAGGATATTTAATTATACCCTCTGAAGCTGGCCTCTTTGCTCTTTTACTTTCAGTCCACTGGGTTTATCATCTGCAGTGCATTCCTCTCTCTCCTTTTAGTCCCAAGTGTTTCTAAATCCCCATTTCTTCAGGTATCATCAGTCTAAATCATCCTGCATAATTGACAACTTTGTGGCAATTTACCAGAAAGCACACTTTAATACCTTCCTCCTTTCAGCTTCCAGGAAGATGGATACACCTCATCTTTCTGCTCGTTACTTCATGTCTCACTCTGTGCTTCCCTTCTCATGCTGTTTATTTGCATATGTAAAACTTCAACCAGCTGAGTCCCTTTTTTAAATTTTTTATTTCAACCTACTATATTCCCTTCTCAATGTTTTTAGTCTTTATCTCAGGAGGATGATTCATTGCCTTATTAGCTATTATAAAAATGTGCTCCCTGTCTCCTTCTGGGAACATAGTGCTTTACCCACATGTAAAGCATATCTTGGTTATTATTCTTTAGGACGGTTGCTGCACTTGGGGTAAAGTGCTGTTAATGTAAGCAAGGCACAATAAGCAGTCAAAAAGCTGCTGAAGAGATGAAATACTTACCTGAAAGGAGGAGTCTGATACTACTCTAAGGTACTGGGAATTTATTTCTTCCTGGCACTTTATATATTAGCTTTTCAAGTAATTGTTAGTGAGCCGTGAAGAATTTTGCTTTCATCTATAAATACTGCATTTATTTGTTTTTGCACTGGTTCAAGAGCTGGGGAAGTTAGAGTGATGAAGTAGTCTACCATACCATCTTACTACAGCTCGAGACTCCGTTTTTGGAATGTTGTTTAAATAACATTTTGAGGTTCCAAGTCTGAAGTAAGGCAGGTGGAAAGGGAAATATATTGAGTATCGATTTAGCAGGTGGTCACTATAGAAACATGCTGTAAAGAGAACCATTAACGATGGACTTCAGGAGAAAAGAACGTTGGAATGAACAACGGGGGGTCAAAGCCTCATTTTGTGCTGCTCAGATAAAGCAGTTGTCTGCCTTAAGAGAATAACTGGGGTTACTAAGTGTAATTCTGGGGTGATTGTCATTAAGTTGCCTTTTTTCTGTTACCTAGTAGGCGTGCAGTGCATGTGGGAAGGGCTGCAGCATGTTGTTCCTTTGGCCAGCTTTCATTGCTGTAGTGTTTTGCAAACCAGGATGCATTGGGGCATAATTTATAAAAAATTTTGAAGTTCTTGACACATGTTAGGACATA